GTTCAGCTTCTTCATATTCCCTGGAAATGAGATTCTGAAAGGCGCGTGTGATTGGAAGTTGAGAAGGGGGAAGCAGGCAGACCTTTCGTCATAAGTGTTACTTGAGACATGGATGTTTGGGTCATGTGGTCACTAGGTGGACACTACAGCTTTTCAAGGCCTCAAGTGTTTCAAGCAGCTCCTTGGTAGTTATAATGAAGGGAGGATACTGGAGAAACTTTAGCAGCTAAAAGGGTCTGAAGTTTAGCAAAGTTGGAAATATGTAATGTCTATGCTTAGTGCGAGTTTACATTTTATTCTGTGTGACTGTGTTTATAGGCTATCAGGATGGGGCCTGATTACATCATAAAAGGACATTTTGAAGTCAGGAGTTTACATCTTTAATTGTTCTAAAGGGATGAAATAGAATAGCCAAAAACGATTTCTGGATCTTCATTTGCACAGTTTTTTTATTATTATTATTGTATTCATAGTGTCAATCAGTGAGGCTCTGATCTTTTTTTAAACTGAAAGAGATCCTGAAAATGGCCCAATGGTTTCCCTGTTTTTCTTTTTACTCTCCACTGGCACTGGTCTGCTTCTTACTGAAGGTTTCTCTCCACTGCCACCAGTGGAATTAGATTGAAAATCTAAAAAAGCTTCTGTGTGTTTAACTGATCTCTAACCCATTGAATGCTGGAGAGAGGAAACGGAGGATGGATAGATGTACGCTGTTGAGAAAATGTTTCTACTCAGTTTTCAAGGATGTTATTAAGAATAACGGGTAATTGAAAAGAAACATAGTTTTCTGCATCTGCTAACTAACAGATAGCCCATTGATTATCAGATTGTGTGATTTTGTCATAAATCAAAATTACAATTTTATTTTTATATTTTAACCAATATTATGATTAATAGTTTCATCTTCCTATTTTGGATAATTAAATGATTTGGATTTAATTTTGAAATTGTGATTATTGAAATTGGATTTATATTGCTAATTTAATTAAGGGTCCAGCGCTGCTCCAGACTGAAAGGAGACAGTTTGTCTGAAATGTGGTTGGATAGATGGATGGATGGATGGATGGATGGATGGATGGATGGATGGATGGATGGATGGATGGTTGGATAGGTGGGTGGATGGATGGATGAATTGATGGTTGGATAGGTGGGTTGATAGATGGATGGATGGTTGAATGGATGGTTGGATGGATGGAAGGTTGGATAGGTGGGTGGATGGATGGATGGATGGATGGTTGGAAGGTTGGATAGGTGGTGGATGGATGGATGGATGAATGGATGGTTGGATGGATGGATGGTTGGATAGGTGGGTGGATGGATGGATGAATGAATGGATGGATGGTTGGAAGGTTGGATAGGTGGTGGATGGATGAATGAATGGATGGATGAATGGGTGGTTGGATGGATGGATGGAAGGTTGGATAGGTGGGTGGATAGATGGATGGATGGATGGATGCGTGGGTGGGTGGGATGGATGGATGAATGGTTGGATAGGTGTGTGGATGGATGGAGGGATGGATAGGTGGTTAGATAGATGGATGGATGGATGGATGGATGGTTGGATAGGTGGGTGGATGGATGGATGGATGGATGGGTGGATGGATGGATGGATGGATGTTGGAAGGTTGGATAGGTGGTGGATGGATGGATGGATGAATGGATGGTTGGATGGATGGATGGTTGGAAGGTTGGATAGGTGGTGGATGGATGGATAAATGGATGGATGGTTGGATAGGTGGGTGGATGGATGAATGAATGGATGGATGAATGGGTGGTTGGATGGAAGGTTGGATAGGTGGGTGGATGGATGAATGAATGGATGGATGGTTGGAAGGTTGGATAGGTGGTGGATGGATGGATGGATAAATGGATGGATGGTTGGATAGGTGGTGGATGGATGGATGGATAAATGGATGGATGGTTGGATAGGTGGGTGGATGGATGAATGAATGGATGGATGAATGGGTTGTTGGATGGATGGATGGAAGGTTGGATAGGTGGGTGGATAGATGGATGGATGGATGGATGGATGGATGGATGGATGGATGGATGGAAGGTTGGATAGGTGGGTGGATAGATGGATGGATGGATGGATGGATGGATGGAAGGTTGGATAGGTGGGTGGATAGATGGATGGATGGATGGATGGATGGATGGATGGATGGATGGATGCGTAAGTTGGGTGGGATGGATGGATGGATGGATAGGTGGGTGGATAGATGGATGGATGGATGAATGGTTGGATAGGTGTGTGGATGGATGGAGGGATGGATAGGTGGTTGGATAGATGGATGGATGGATGGTTGGATAGGTGGGTGGATGGATGGAGGGATGGATAGGTGGTTGGATAAATGGATGGATCAATGGATAGGTGGGGGGATGGGTGGAGGGATGGATGGAAGGTTGGATAGGTAGGTGGATAGATGGATGCATGGATGGAGGGATGGATGGTTGGATGGATGGAAGGTTGGATAGGTGGGTGGATGGATGGATGGATGGATGGATGAATGGATGGTTGGATGAATGGATGGTTGGATAGGTGGATGGATGGATGGAAGGTTGGATGGATGAATGGATGGTTGGATAGGTGGATAGATGGATGGAATGTTGGATAGGTGGGTAGATGGATGGATGGGTGGATGGTTGGATTGGTGGGTGGATAGATGGATGGATGGGTGGATGGATGGATTATGACTTAGCATCCCTTTTTAGGCCAAAGCAGACATGCTTCAGAGTGATAAAAGTGAACAGGAAATATTTACTGTATTTTCTGCAACCTGAACAATTCATGATGAACGCAGCAAGTTTGCCAAATCGAATTTGCTAGTTTTCTTTTAATTAACATTTTATGCAAACATCCTCACCTATTCATAAACAACCTCATAAAGTCTATACAGTTTGTTCCAATTAAAACAGCAGATGACTCTGTTGTTGCTGCAACATGATCTTCATGGTGATTTTACACCAGTTGTTTGCTGTTTTCCAGGACAGCTGCTCACACAGGGGAGGAAGTTTCCATCCTCAGCTGGATTTAAATTTAGTATGCTGTTATTTCATGTAATGAACGCTGCTGAGTCATAGGCCACTAGTAGAACAACAGCTTGACAAGTTTTTAAGGAAGATTGGAAGCCTTAAAACCAATAACAATAACTGGCCTGTGCAGTAACCACAATGCAGGTATTTTCTGTTACTCCTGCAGCTATTTATATGAACCTCTCGAGGTCATTTTTCTCTTTTCTCCTATTAATGTATATCCAATCATAGTTTTCTAAGCCAAAGCGTGACAACTCTTGATTTCATTCTATTTTTATTTACATTGAGAAAAATAGTCAAACATTAATTTCACAGATAAATTCTGCATCATTGCACATTACAACATTGAGATAGTATTATAACCTTAGATGTGTTGGCTTTACAATAAGGACAGATGAAGGACTGAGCTTGTGGCACATGGATTTAAGAGAGGAAACATGCTTTAAACATTACTCTCTTAGATATTTTTATTCCCATATAGATGACATGTGAGTCACAACTCTACTTTATGTAAAATATGATCTATAGTTAATTTTAAAATAGCAAGTCGGGAAGTTATGCTTGGCATCTCATTTTTCAGGCTCTAAATGTCCAGCAGTGCCACCGTTTAAAAAGCTATGTCTCATCGCTGCTCCCATCTGACTCCAGCATTAACAATCATCTTCCTGTTGTTTTATGGGCCATGCCTAAATTTAGGTGGTGACATTTCATTTAACATGGACTCAACTGTAGAAATGACAGCAAAAGGAGGAAGAAGTTACACTCACTTAGTTTTAGATGTAGTTTAAATGTTTTCATAAGTTTCCTGGAGTAATGATTTTATCAAATATTGACAGTATCCAGTAAAATTTAAATTATCTGCAATTAGTAATTCGTGTCTCCACATCAGCTTTGATATTATAATGTTATATCCTATCAGCTGAGCAGATATCACATTGAGCTATGGCAAATATTGAAGAAAACAGATTTGCCTATCAGCCCTGTGCACCCTTCTGCCATGGCCAATCATCATCGAGGACTCTGCTTTAAAAAAAAGACTGTTCTGCCAACTGTCAGGATTTGGTTGCCGTTTGTTGACCCAAATGCAGAGGCAGGGAGGCAGAGGTGATTTTCTTTTGGGTTTGATGAAAGGTAAACTGAACACAGAGGCAGGAAATCCAAAAAACCAAAACAGGAAAAAAAAAGTCCAAACAAACCAGAAACCAGGAATCCAAAATCAAAAAATCAAAATATGAAAACAAAGTCAAAACAAACCAGAAACCATGGAGACATCAGTGAGGATACTATCACGAGGAGGAAGGCTCAGAGAGAAGTTGGAGGAAGTTATACGAAGAACCAGCACTGAATAACTGCACAGGAAGTGTATTTATGGGAGACTGAAACAAAGAGAGGGCTAACGAGCAGATTGGGAGCAGGTGTGAACAGAGCAGAAACAGGAAAGGAGCTAGGGAAAAAGGAGAACACAAGAGGGCAGCAGAGGGCAACAAATAAAAACTAGAAAAACATGGAGCAAAGTAAAACAGAATACACAAAAGAAAACATAGCAGAACCAAGACTGTAACACCAACAGATTTCTGCTCCTTCAAACTGCAACAGCCCGCCACCCCTTGCTGGGGGTGGGGGACATGCCTCTACTTATTCATCTGTGCAATAATAACATCATTACGTTAATGTTAAAAAAGGATTTAAACAAATATTTTGTCATTGTGTAATATTTTTGTCTTTAGGATCAGAACATCTTTTACAAATATTAAATCAAATTTGATCCGTTTTTAGGTGCTTGGATACAAATATAATAAAAAATTATACTAAAGTTGTATAAATAGAAATTAGAAATATACTTGTTTTGGACATCTACCTCTGTATATTCTTACTTTCGTTCTTCCAGTTTCTGAATGTTTCCAAACACAGATTTGTACATTTTGAAGGTTTTCATTAATGTTTGGCTTCTGTGTTTCCTTGTTTAGTTGGGAGCTCATTGATTCTGGTCCAGACAGCCGTTCTGGAACTGGAGCTCAGCTCGGAGACTCCCTCAGACTTTTCCTAGAGGAGACGTCAGCTTTTAAACAGCAAAATCCTGGAAAGGTAAGGCTGAAAACTCATTCAACGTAATTACAGACAGTGTGGCTTAACTCAGTTGAGATGTAAGACTCAGACTGAGTTTGGGATTAGTTAAACAGAAAGGAAACAAAGTTTAAATCTGCTGCAATAAACAAAAATAGAGCATAACAACCAAGCATGAGGAATTATTCATTCTTTAATTTTTCCTGCTACAGTTCTGCCTGCTGGTTTGCAGCGTGTGCACATTCTTTGCTGTCTTAGGACGCTACATTCCAGGAATCATAATCTCCTATATCATAGGTGAGTAAAGAGACGTTTTGCACTTTTTCATTTTTGGAACGCCCTTTCTTGTTTTACTATGTAACAATTTATCCCTTATTATCATGATTTTTTTTATGCAGTGCTGAGTATTTTCCTTTGGCCTCTGATTTCATCTCAAGATATCAGCTTGTGGCTGGAGCCAGTTCTGCAGAAGCTGGACTTCGGCATTGGTCACTTTTTTCAGAAAATCAAGCAGAACCGTGGTAAATATCAAACAATGTGGGAGATATCTGGAACTATGACAATTATATCCTTTCTTTTAAATCAACCCTTATCTATTATATACCTTTTTAGATAAGATATTTTAAATCCAAAGTGTCCTCCTTTGTAAAAGTCCTAGAACTGGATTATTGATTGAACTCCCCATATTTAGCTTTAGCATATCTATGTAAAAACGTATTTCATATATATTAATAAATATACTGACACAATTACATGGTTTTGGACCTAATCTTGCATTTTCCAATTCATTACTTCCAGACAAGAGACTAATTCAAACTCAGACGGAGATGAAGGATGTTGAATCAGACCTTTCTTCCATGTTCCCCAAGGTTTGTAATTCATTTCAACCATCTTAATCGAATCCTGTTTGCTAAAAGGGTCCCAATATAACTAATTCAATTTACCCCTTATTATCATATTAAGTCTGACAGTTTGTTAAACCTCCAGTGAGGTCATAGAGTTTGCTTCCCTAGTTTTATACAACCTTTACATATTTTTTAGCCATGATATTAGAAAAATGGGACATTTAAAACAGACTTAACTCAAAAATGTTATTTTTAAAGACTGAAAACAAATACATGCTATTGGATTTTCATGAAATTTATAGATTTAAATACAGTTACATAAATCAATTTATTTGGGGTTTAACTACAATAAGGGGTCAAATTCTTGCCGGTACTATATAAAAATATATTATTTTACTACACCCTGCATGCATTTTTTAAAAAAGTAATTTTTTTTCAGATTTAGACCAATATGACTGGCTTATTGGCAGTAGTCTTTCCATCTTATTGTATTTTGGAAATATCTGTGTTTTCTACTTTTGCATATTGTGTTGTGAGGTTGCAGTTTGTGTTATAAACTTTCACCTAGAGTTGGCCAGAATATTAGTTATAAGAGGAAAAACTGTACGAAAAATAAAAAGCTGCAGAGGATGTGTTCCTGTGCCTCATTTCCACACATAATGTACATGTCTAGCATAACTGACCCTATAAGTGGGTCTAAACCAGTAATCTCTATTTATTCACTGGATTTCTGATAGGCCATTTAGTACAGAGTGCTGTGAAGTCACCGGCAGCCATATTTGTACTCCCTATTTACAACGGTCGAAAAGTAAACAAATTGGCGCTACAGCATCGAGCAACGTTGATGTTCTCATTTTCAGGGGGGCTTAAGACTTTTAAAACAAAGATAAATTCATCGCTTTGACACACACCTGCTGTTTCATAGTATCTGGAAGATGACTGTAATTTATGGTAAAAAAAAAATGGGCACATCACATTGCATAGTCAGTATGAAAGTCCATTAAGTTTATAAATAATGTAATATAACATATTATACAAATACATCACAACATAATAAGTGTGATAATGGAGCATGATATACTTATTCAGATATCAACAATATTACACATGCACACTATCTGGTGATGAGCCAAAAGTGCTAAATTGAAGATGTACATTTGTGTACATTGTTATGGTAATTACGTTACATTACAGGCATTTTTATAGCACGACTCCATGAAAGTAGGGACTACCAAGATGGCGGCAAGTTACTTCAGTTTTTTTTGCCTATCAGCAATCCAGTTTATAAATAGAAATCAGTGGGCTAAACCTGGACGTTTTAAGTCAAGCGCCCTCTTGTGGCTAAAGTTGCAGTATGGCAGTCATGATGAGGGGATTTCTTTGTTGCTCATTCTGAGCTATTTTAAGGCGACAGTGGGAAGGAATTACTAGAAATATGCAGAAGAACAAGGCTAATTATGGGTCACCATGGTGTAGAAAGGAGTTATGAGCACAGGCAGAAACACTGTGGCAACAAAAGTTATCATGTCAGAAGCAAACAAAAACACAGGAGATGTGTGCCAAATAATTTGGATAACTTTTCCTATGAAAAAAAATGAAACAGAAGCATTGAGCAAAAAGATAAAAAGAAATCACACAGCTAATGGCACCAGTAGCCTTAAGAATCATGTTCAGGAAAGAGTAGCTGCAGCTGGATCCAAAAAAAGAAAACAGACATAGAGCTGTAGTTGAATTTGTTTGGTTAATGTTTTATTTCAACGACTACTGCAGCCTAAATAAATTCTCTAAACATTCAGTTACAGAAATAAAGTGACTGTAGAATAAGCATTCTGAGTTTCTGCACTGGTTACAAGAGCCGATACATCTGCAGACCTGTCAAAACTCTGCATTGGATTTGGTAGTTCCAATTATTAAGCCTAGCTCTGAAACAGCTTGACGCTGCTTTTTGTTGTGAAAGGTAACATTTCTGGGGGATTTTTGCGTGTGTGTGTGTTTCACCAGCTCGACTCTACAGTGTGTAAGGAAATGTCTGTGTCAGATACAGAAGTGTCTGATGTGACATGGACGGATAACGGCACTTTTAACCTATCAGAGGGACACACTCCCCAGACTGAGAACTCAGAGGGTGAGAAATAACAGGTTCATTGATGATTTTCCTAAATGGATAATCTTTTCTTCCTAATCTTATCTTGGTCCTACATTTTCTTTTTCAGATCTTGATAAAGAAGAGTTATTTACTGCTGATCTCCCAGAATTCCCATCCCTTGATAATGGCACAACAACCAATGGTGATGATGACCTCAGCCTTGACCTTTCCCTACCTCCACTTCAGCAAGTCAAATCAAAACAATCGGCCTCTGTCACGGAGAAAGACCGGTCAGCTGACAGCACCCTGGAACAGATGGCTGACAGCGTTATCACTGCTGTAGTTACAGCTGCAATTCAGGAGAGAATAGAAGCAGCGGTCGGCTTGGTGGCTCTGAATGAAGACCCAGAGCGGTCGAGGCCTCCAGATTCCACCCAGCTGCTGGAGCTAGCCGAGGAGTCGGACAGCGATGTGGAAGACTTTGAGCTGTTAGACCAATCTGAGCTGGAGCAACTGGAAGGGGAGTTGGGGCCTGTAGAGGAGAAGGCAAAGCCCAAAGTGGAGGAACCGGCTGCGACCGACAAACCAGCCTCTTCTGGATTCCTCTCTAAACTCCTCAGGCGTCAGTAATCGGCTAAACGTTTGACAGAGACGATTAAACAGTCACAGAGGACATTCAGAAATGAGATGGGAGATTTCTGTCACTTTTGCCTTCGGTTTGAGGAGAAAAAATTACCATTTTCATCTTTTAAAGCTAAAATATACATTTAAAACAAATCTGTTTCTAGAAGAATTTTAGTCAGGATACTTTTATCTGCACGCAATCTTTACCCACAATTCAGTTTCTATTAAGATATCAACACATTTAAAAACAAAACTTGGCCCTTAAAACTATGGACTTTTATGTAAATAACTGGATATTGTGTTTGTGGGAATAAAAATGGCAGATATGCACTTTTGTTCAGACCCGTCACCCGTGCCATATTTAAACCATCTGTATTTGGACTTTTTAATCATTTCCCCTGAGCAATCAATGCGGAAAACATTTCCTTCAATGTTTTTAGAGGTTTATCATCTGCATATATTAAAGGTGGTTTAGCAAGTTTTCTGTCGTGGTTAACATTTTGCTGAATAATTTTTAGTAAGGATGCACAATATTGGAATTTTGGTTAACATATTTGAAATCTCCTTAGGCCAACTGAGACAGATTTTTTCCCCCAATAGACTTGCTTACAGACATTATGTAGTTTACTTCCTCCTGTCTTGCGAAGTCATTGCATGCAAGTGGTAATTCAAATATCTTCTTCCAAACTTTAGAAAGCATCCACACCAACAACATTTTTACTTCAGCCTCAGTCCTGTGGAGGACTCATGCATCTGTTGGGTGCACAGGAACTGCTGATACTGCAGGAACGATACTCACTTATTTGTTACAAAAACAGTGCCTTTTATATAGGTGCGTATATTGGTGGAATGGCGGATGTCCCGTATCTGATTTTAAAGCTAACTTTGGCTGACAGATGGCTTGTGCTTTTATAGAGCTTTATGAAGTCTAAGGACCCCAAAGCCTTTTACACTACAGTTAGTCATTCATCTAATTATGCACACACATTGTGGCAACAGTTGCCCTGTGGCTCACTGATGAGTAAAGCTGCTGTACACAGGCCCCTACAGGCCCTCTGACCCACATCAGTGACAGAACATCCAAGTTTTAACCCTTTGAAACTTGTTGAAGGTGCTTAAATCAGTCAGAACTCATGCATCCAATAACAGTATAAGTTTTTATCAATTATCCTGAGGCTTCACAGCCTCAGTATGAGGTTTGGCTTTCAGGAGTGGGGTCAAAGTACATCTTAGTCGTGCTGAAAATTTGAATTTGAAGCTGGGACCTCAGTGTGTCTCCCAGTCCTTGGTGCAATTTGGAGGTGTTGGAACTGTTTCTATGCTCTGAACTCAACACACACCAAAATCCATGCCCTGAGTTTGCTGAGGTATTTCTTTGTCATGGAGGGTGTGAATTGTTTAATACCTAGAGGGATATGGTAATTAAACTGGAGCTATAAAGTGCAGCATTGTGGGTTTGATTGTGTTTGAAGCCACTTGGTTCAGTTTTGATTCAGTTGCATTGAAATCTAAGCCATGCAGATGTGGACTAACCCCACACCATGGATAACCTTCAGCCATGTTTCATCCTTGATCTTGTTAAACTACTCAGTGGTATTGAACATCAGCAAACTCTGTAGAAAGGTTTTGGGTAACTTAAGGCAAATTAATGAGGTCCTTCTCTGTATCATAATAGACAGTGTGTTGCTCTTCTATTATACTCCCAACGATATAAACTATTCCCTTTTAACACCATCCAGTTTTTCAGCTAACTTTAACTTTCATAATGTGGTATTAATCTGGCATGAAGGAGGCCTATCAGGCTGTATTCTTACTTGCACCACCCAAAGCTGTTTTTTATTGTTAAAGGGAAGTAGGACGCTCAATACTTATTTTCTCAGAAGCAATTCAAACTAAACATTCAAAGATCGCATGAAATTTTGAGCAGTTCTTTCAGCTGAATTTCCCAGAATTCCAAAGATGCAAATTAGTTTTTGACAATCACTGCATAGTTGTTTTTTTCAGGCTGACATGATAACATTGTTCATGACTGTGTCATTGATTGGAAAAGTTAAGAGAAACTAATGCTGTTCATTTTGTTTCCTGTTTTAGAGTTTATTGTGTACCTTACTTTGATTATCAAACATTTCTGTAGCTTGGTTGACTTTTACTTTAACATGCAGCTGGTCTCATAATTATGTGCATGGATATCTGAATACTTAAACATCCAACTAAAGTATTTTAGTGTCACTTGTGTGTTGGTTTCTTGTGGCTTGTTGTTTGCTGAGGGAATGATAAGATCTGTCTGAATCACTTTGGTAATTCTGAATTTGGCAGATCTTTTAGGATGGGAATGAGCAGAATGACCATATTGAGAGAAGTTCGTGTATAATAAAAGAGATCCAGTTTGATCAAAAAATTATTGACTTAAATTCTTTCATCTCTCTTGTCTTGGATAAGGTTTATTCACCGTAGATGTCTGAGCAAGAAAACAAGCATATTTTAACTTTAGTTCTGGATATGATGCCTCACAAAATTGTATTAATGCAAAGCCATTACAACAAAATAAATACATATTGTATTCGCTTTTCATTGTGTAAATGAATGCAGCATTTATTTTCCAACCACCTCCTACTGAAGTGATTTACAGTTTACCTTCACCATAGAGAGCGTTCTGACCAGCTTTCACACTGTGTGGTGTGGAGACTGTAGCGCCCCAGACTGGAAGAATGTGAGAAGAGTGGTGAGAACAGCACAGAGGATCATCGGGGCTCCTCTTCCCTCCATTAAAGACCATTAAAGACATTTCATCCCAGTTCTGTGTGTCCTGAGCCCGTAGAGCCCCCTTACACCCCCACCATCGACTGTTCTCCCTGCTGCCCTCAGGGAAGAGGCTTTGCAGCATTAAATGCAGGTCCAGTAGATTCTGCAACAGCTTCTTCCCCACTGCCATCAGACTGCTGTACTGTTGGAAAAAAAAATCTAAATCATGTCACAAATCCTCCATCACACTGATAACACCAAACCAAAAATACTGCATGTTTGCACCATATATATTTAATGCTCTGAACTTCCTTTTCAATCTTTTTTTTTGCACCATGTTTTTGCTCCCACACTGTTTACATTTGATAACTGCTGCCCATTAAGAAATGGAAATATCATGAAAGCTGTACAAAACTAAATTTCATTTTGTATACACTATGTGCATACAAAATGACAATATGTGACAACAGGAAATGTGTTGGGAACATTTCTGTTTGCATTCTAAGTTATGGTGGATAGCAGGTAAATCTGTCTTATACTTCTTTTCTATTAAGGTCATGGCCAGCTAGTGCTTATATCCAGCAGTCTATGGGTGAAAGGCAGATGGACAGATTGACAGTCCATCGCAGGACAGCACACCATGCACACATACAGTCACACAGAACATCAGTTTCAGTCACTACACTGTAAACCCGAATGCTCAAAATAATTCATTAGAATAAGTAGAGTGAAATATGCTGGTGAAGATTTTCAGTCATCCAGGTCTTAGTCATTGTAAAAAAGCAACAAAAAAAAAAAAATCCACTGGACTTTGTTTACAAGTTTGAAGACATTTCGCTTTCCATCCAGGAAGCTTTTTCAATTCAAAATGTCAGAAACAGCATTGATTTTGAGGCTTTATAGAGTGGATTAAAAAACAAAGCCTTGTTTTGGCTTAGAAAACATGCAAATTGAACCAGACCAACGGGATAGCCCTGTAGAAATGGGGGTCGTTTGGGTTCTTTGTTAGCCTGCAATACCCCATACCTGTCTATGTCTCTGAAAGGGGGTCATTAGAGGGAATTTTTGGCCTGGCTGAACAGGCGAGGTGTTCTTGTCTTCTGTAAAGGGATGGGGGTTGCGATGATAGCGGGAAGGAATCAACTCAATCGCTGAAATGTAGGTTTTTGAAAGCTGTTATCTGAGGCCACCCCCTCTGAGGCCAAACAACCTTAAACAGAGGGGGTAGCCTCAGATTTTAGCTTTCCAAAACACTCAATTTAGCGATCTCTTCCAACTATCACACTTCTCAGCCTCCCCAGGAAGGCCTATGCCAGGGTGCTGGAAGGAAGTCCAGCTACTTTTCCAAACTCTAAGGGTAGTAAGTTTTCGTCCCAGCGGGGGAACAGTGGACAAGCTCTACACCATCTGCAGGGGTACTAGATGGTACATAAGTACCTTTACTAGGGGCCATCCAACAGCTGTACAAGTGCAGTAGGAGTTTGTTGGCATTTGGTTTGACCCATTTCTGGTTTACATGACTTTTATGCAAATGTCTAGATGGATTCAAGAACTAAAGGATGTCTGGTTTGGGGATGAGCAAATTTCTGTTTCTTAGATGATGTGGTTCTGCTGGCTTCCTCTGCCATGTCTCAGGAAACCTTTTTTTTTTTTTTTATCTATTTACATTTTTTTTATATAGCTAATTATCTTATTCTAATGATTGCAGGCTTTGAAATAAGGTCATAAGCAATTATTATATAAGCAAAGATCCATTATTGAAACATTCAGGCTGAGTCATAAACAGGTCATGTTTTCTGTAAATTGTTCAACAATGTTAAAAAACCGGCCAAACCTCTTCTTACTGTTCCTCTCATCTCCAGTCAGCCCACATATTTTTATTTGTTTCCTGCAGAAGGTAGGTTAAGTATAGAACTACTTACGGTCCCAACAGTCACAGTGACAGAGAACTGAAATGGAGCAGCACGGATTACAACTGGACCTTAAAATGTTTTCCTGTTCGATCTGCCTGGATCTACTGAAGGATCCAGTGACGATTCCCTGTGGACACAACTACTGTATGAACTGTATTAAAACGCACTGGAACAAAGAGGATAAAAAACAAACCTACAGCTGCCCTCAGTGCAGGAAAACTTTTGCATCGAAGCCTGATCTGGAGAAGAACACCATGTTAGCAGCTGTGGTGGAGCAACTGAAGAAGACTGGACTGTACGCTGCTCCTGAAGCTGGACCTGAGGATGTGGCCTGTGATTTCTGTACTGGAAGGAAGCTGAAAGCCATCAAGTCCTGTTTGTTCTGTCTGGCCTCTTACTGTGAGAAACACCTTCAGTCTCATTATGATTCAGCTACATTTAAGAAACACAAGCTGGTGGAGGCCATGAACCTCCAGGAGAACATCTGCTGCAGTCACAATCAGGTAATAAACATGTTCTGTCGTACTGATCAGAAGTGTATCTGTAGTCTCTGTTTAATGGATGAACATCAAGACCATGACACAGTGTCAGCTGCAGCAGAAAGGACTTTGAGGCAGAAAGAGCTGGAGGAGACACAAGGAAATATCCATCAGAGAATCCAGGACAGAGAGAAAGATGTGAAGCTGCTTCAACAGGAGGTGGAGGCCATCAATCACTCTGCTGATAAAACAGTGGAGGACAGTGAGAAGATCTTCACTGAGCTGATCTGTCTCATCCAGAAAAGAAGCTCTGATGTGAAGCAGCAGATCAGATCCCAGCAGGAAACTGAAGTGAGTCGAGTCAAAGAGCTTCAGGAGAAGCTGGAGCAGGAGATCACTGAGCTGAAGAAGAAAGAAGCTGAGCTGAAGCAGCTCTTAAACACAGAGGATCACAACCAGTTTCTCCACAGCTACCCCTCACTGTCAGCACTCAGTGAGTCTACACACTCATCCAGCATCAATATCCGTCCTCTGAGAAATTTTGAGGATGTGACAGCAGCTGTGTCAGAGCTCAGAGACAAACTGCAGGACATTCTGGGAGAGAAAAGGACAAACATCTCATCACCAGCGATTGATAGTGACCAGAAAATAAAAGACCCAAAGAGCAGAGCCGACTTTCTAAGATATTCATGTACCATCACTCTAGATCCAAACACAACACACACACAGCTTGTGTTGACAGAGGGGAACAGGAAGGTCACACTTATCAGTCAACATCAGCCTTATTCTATTCACCCAGATAGATTCACTGGTTGTTGCCAGGTTCTGAGCAGAGAGAGTCTGTCTGGACGTTGTTACTGGGAAGTGGAATGGAAAGGGAGAGGAGGGTTTGTTGCTGTTTCATACAAGAGTATCAGTAGAGCAGGGGGTGAATGTGCATTTGGGCGTAATAGCAAATCTTGGGCTTTGGATTGTTATCAAAAAACATACACATTTTATCACAAGAAAAATAAAACCCCCATCTCAGGTCCAGTTTCCTCCAGAATAGGAGTGTACCTGGATCACTCAGCAGGTATTCTATGTTTCTACAGCGTCTCTGAAACCATGACTCTCCTCCACAGAGTCCAGACCACATTCACTCAGCCGTTACATGCTGGAGTTTGGATTTACTACACCAACGTTACAGCAGAGTTCTGTAAACTCGGGTGGACTTGACTTTAGTGGCTGTGAGTTCAAGTGAATCGAAACAGTCTTTTACTAGCTGCTTTTATTTCTATTTGGCAGTTTAAATAAAAAATGAAGAAAATATTGAAGTTTTGTCTATATGTCTTTCTCGTTGAATTTTTCATTTTATAAAATGTTAAGCATTTTTTTAACCAACTTTAGCATGTCAGTTAAATCATTAAAATGCTAATTAGGTATTCTTTCCATTCTAAAAGACTGATTAGAAAAGAAATATATTTGTGTGGGGTTAAAAACTTTTTTATCACTGCTTCTGTCTGCTTGAACCCCAGTCGGTTTCAGCAGATGGCCGCTCACACTAAGGATCTGCTGGAGGTTTCTTTCTGTTAAAAGGGCTCTTTTCCTCTCCGCTGTTGCCACAAGCATTCTTAGTGTGAGGGATTGTCTTGGAGTCAAATAGTCCATGAAATCAACTGGTTTTTCCTTAGATAGAAAAGTTTTAATCAATTTGATTGTATGATCTGATGAACTGTGCCTTGAGATGACATGTGTTGTGAATTTGCTCTATATAAATAAACTTAATTGAATTGAAATATCTTACAATTTATTTCACAAAATAACCTAAAAAGTAAGTGCAATTATTTTTTTGCCACTTTATGTTTCCTTACTTCTTATTTTGTTTTGCACATTGTTCAGTATCTTGTTTTTGATTGTGATTCTTGGCTCTGAAATAAAGATGTTTTTTGTAAATAAAATAAAAAAATTAATAATCTATGAGTCCAGTCGATTGTTTTCTTGTCTTTCTTTTTTTTTCTTATGAAATAGGTTTTATTGCTTTTTAAATTGTAACTAAACATGCCACTCACAATATGGTGGACGCGCTGACGCGCTTTACTGCAATGCAGCACCTTCCTCCTTTATGTTGTAGAGCATAGCTTTCTCCAGAGGGAGGCAATAGAGAACCGCTTGGGTTTCAAATAGACACTCAGTTCAAATCAGAAGAAGTTAACCTCCTAGTTTTAGGTTGTCCTCGTGTTTGCATGTTGGGAAAATATCATCACTAAAATCTGTTCTGATTCTGT